TTCATCAATAGTAGGAACTGCCAATGCTGGAGAAGCTGAGATAACAAGGTGTAGAGCTGGATGAACACAGCAGGCCAAGCAGCATCAGAGGTTCTGAAGAAGGGTCCAGACCCGAAACGTCAGCCTTCCTGCTCCTGAGATGCTGTTTGGCCTGCTGTGTTCCTCCAGCTCTACACCTTGTTATCTCGTTAAGTTTCATCTACTCTTTTAAACTGAATGTAAAGCTTTCTGTCCAATGTCCCAATCAAACACTCCCAGGACAGATCCAACATGGGGTTTGATAAAGAGTAAAGCTCCCTCTATTGTTTTAAAATGAATTTCAACCTCCCTCCACTCCCAGGACAGGGACAGTACATGCTTAGATACAGATTAAAGTTCCCTCTACTCTTTTAAACTGAAAGTAAAGCTCCCTGTATGCAGTTCCCATCAAAGATTCACAGTGGAGGAAAAGTATGGGGTTAGATTGAGAGTGAAACTGTGTCTACACTGTCCCCATTGAACAGTCCCAGCAAAAAATTATTGTTGATTATTTGATACAGAGTAAAGCTATCTCTACGCTGTCACCATCTAACATTCACATGGCACGTATAGCAAGGGAGTAGATCCAGAGCTAAGCTTCCTCTACACTTTCCCCATCTCAGTACTGCCAGTGCAGGTACATCACATAGTTAGTCATAAAGCTCCCTGTAAACTACCCTCATCAATTTTACCAGCACTGATATTGCACCTGGCTGCATACAGAGTTAAAATTCCTTAAATCTTTCACACTGAACGTAAAGCTTACTGTACACCGTCCCTATCAAACACTCCTGGAACAGATACATCACATGATTAGATATAAGAGTAAAGCTCTCTCTACATTATCCACTATCCCCATTAAACACTCCCAGAGCAGGGAGAGCTTTTCAAATCCCACCACACATGTATCTGAGGCTGGCCTTTCTCCATTGTCCATTCCCCACAAACCATACTGCTCATATCTAGCTGTATTTCCCTGTTACTCCTGAACTGGGCCTTGATAATCCAATCAGTTTTGCAGTAACCCAACAAAGCCGTTGTTTCTGACAGGTCTTTATAGAGAGAGTGTCCCCGTCCCTGGTACAACCAGCTGCTCTGTAGGCTGTCTCTCACTGCGTGCCCTGTTGCCATCTGTTTTCCACCTCCTCCCTCCCAATAACTGTTGATATTTAACTCCCTGAAGATCAATTAGTTCCTTCCTCGAGATAAAGAGTATTTGTGTAGCACCTAACCAGATTCCCTCAACCTCCCAAACCCTCGCAGTCAATGAAGCGGTTTTGGCAAAGCCGGGTCACTGCGGGTAAGGTGGCAATCAATTTGTGCACAGCAAGATCCCACAAACAACTATGTGAGAAACCAGTTTTGGCAGCTGTGCCTTCTGTAACCTGGACCCTATGCATTGTAACATCTCTCTGACCACTTTCTTTCCGTGCAGTTGAAGCCCAGTTCTTTGTTTTCTCTTTAATTCACACTCCTTGTCTTTTTCGCTGAGTCACTGTTCACTTTTTGTCCAATTATTCTAGAATCCCTGCAGTGCGGAAACAGGCCATTCAGCCCAACTAGTCCACACCAACTCTGCCAATAGCATCCCACCCAGACTCAAGCCTCCCCCCCACCCTATCACCTTGCATTTCCCATGGCTAACCCGCTTAATGTACACATCCCTGGGCACTCTGGGTAATTTAGCATGGCCAATCCACCTAGCCTGGACAACTGTGGGAGGAAACCGGAGCACCTGGAGGAAACCCACACAGACATGGGGAGAATGTGTAAACTCCATACAGACAGTCGCCCAAGGCTGTTATTGAACCCAGGTTCAACCAGTAGTGCAAACCGCTGAGCTGCCATTCTGCCCTATTGTTGATGTGAAGCCCATTAGGCTGTTTTACCAGGCTGAGTGCATCATTAAAACTGAGTCAGCAAACTTCCATGAGGCTCTTTAAGCATAGTCCATAGACAATACAACCCACACAATTGGGTCTGAGCTCACACTGGATGGAGATAGCAGCAGGAAGAAAGCCTTGTCTGACACTCATTCACCGTCACTGCCCAACCCACTTTCGCAGCTCAAGCAGGCTCTTACTGGTTCCCTGCGAAGAATTATATGAGAGAGAGAGGTATCCATTGTAATGTATCCCAAGGACAGTCTGCTCACCAGGATTGTGCGGGGTTTGATTCAGTGTTCAAGTCCATTCCTTTCATCACCAGACTACACAGGTATCAGTCACAGAATGAGGTCTTTTTTGACTTTACATTAGCCTAAGCAATAGGATGAGATCATTCCAGATGTTCGTGAGCCTCTATTAAATTCTCAATTCATTATGCAATTCACTGTCAGGAACAGTGCACTCCACAAAGCCCATCTGATACAACATCCAAGAGCTTACTCAGATCCCTGATACCAGATCTACCTCTGATCTCCACCACACTGTCACTGAATCATCAGACAGCAACAGACCCACATGGTGACATCATGAATAAAACAGTTGAGCCATCAAAATGCACCTGACACCTATCATTCTGTCCTCATCAATCTACTGTTATATAGTACATTTAAAGCCTTTGAATTATTATTGCCGTGAACCCAGTGACAGACCAACCACTAGGGATCAATAACCTTCACACAGCACTTCTCTTCCTCATCTTTGCCTCAGACCCTGCTTCACCGGGCATGAAATCAGAGCAGGAGTGGGCCATTCGGCCCTTCAAGCTTGTTCCACCATTTGATCAGATCACGGCCAATCTGATTGTGGTTCAACTCCACATGCCATTCCTCCTTCACAATTAAAAATCTGTCCAATCTAGCCTCAAATATACTCAGTGAGTCAGTGTCCACTGCTTTCAGGGGAAGGAATTCCAAAGATTCATCCTACTCTAAAGAGATGAAATTCCTCTTCACGTCCTTCTTAATTCGAGACTCCTTATTTTTAAACTGTGTTCTTCTAGTCCCATGAGAGGATACATCCTTTGAGATTCCACCAGCAAATCTCCTCAGGAACTCACAGGTTTCACTAAGATCACTTCTCATTCTTCTAAACTCAATGGAGAAAGGTCTAACCATTTCCTCAAAGACTTACTCCCCCATCTCAGATCTCGGTCGAGTTTGAAGGGGTTAGCTCTTGGAGGTAGTTTGAGGTCGTCGCAGAAAGCTGTTTGAAATCCTCATGTGCTGAATCGACACAACGTTGAAGATGTCTTTCGCCCAGATTGTGGGGCTTTTGTGACCCTGCCATCTATCCACCTCCTCCTGTTCTTTGTGAACAGGCTGCAGAGTGGTTGAATGGCCTTTGTTTGTTCCTGTATAATAGGTTTAAGAGGGGCTGAACGGCCTCTTATGCCACAAGCTAGTAATTCCACTCCACTTAACTCACCTCCTATCCCCACAAATCCTGCTTACCAGGTTTATAAGTAAGGAGTGGGATGGAATACTCCCCACTTGCCTGGATGGGGGCAGCTCCAACAACACTCAAGAAGCTCGACACCATCCTAGGACAAAGCATCTGCACCACATCCACTCCCTCCCTTACTGACTAGCCACAGTATGTGCCATCTACAAGATGCATTGCAGAAATTCACTGAGGCTGTGACCACCATCATCTAGAAGGGCAAGGGCAGCAGATACACGGGAACACCACCCCCTGCATGCTCCCCTCTGAGCCACTCACCATCCTGACTTGGAAATATATCTCCATTCCTTCATTGCCACTGGGTTAATTTTTGAACTCCCTCCCTAACTACATTGTGGGTATTCCTCTACCACATGGACTGAAGTGGTTCAAGAAGGCAGTTCACCACCATCTTATCTTCTCCAGGGCAGTTAGGGATGGGAAATGACCAGTGACACCCATATCTCAGAAACAAATAAAAACAAGGTTGAAGCTTATCTACCAGTGTTCTCTCTTCCTCCCCTAAAGATACAGCTGTGATAGAAGTGCAGGCCATTTTCAGCTCCAGTTCCAGATTTACTGAGAATTGCTGATCTTTGGTCTTTGTATTTAACAGCTAGCTTGTAGGGGGCTATTGTGGTGCAGTGGTATTGTCCCTCTCTCTGAGCCAGGAAGCACAGGGTTCAACTCCCACTTGCTCCAGCGGTGTATAGTAACTTCTCTGAGCAAGTTGATTGAGAGAAGAAGAGTTCTTCCCCAGTGAGGAATTGACCTGTGGACATGAAAAGGTGGAATCTTATATCTGCACTGTACTATAAATTCACAATACAACACCTGAAAGTCTTTCACTGCCTAACACACCATGTGGATATTGGTCTGTTAAACAGGCGCTGCCTGACATATCCTTATGCCCAAAATTTTCATGTGACCCTGGAATGCCCAGGTTCTGGAAGTGTTTTGAACAGCTGGAGGCTTTTTGGCCATTTGCGTGTGATCTCATTGTTCAGTTTTATTATTTCCCCTTTTTCTCCCCCAGCCCACTTCTCCTTTCTCCATGTTTACTTATCCAGTCCTCCTATTGAATCCCCATCCTTTAACACGATCCATTCTGTGACAGCAGGCAGGGTATTTCTACAGGACGACGTTCTCCTGCAAAAAGCTCATCCCCGGGAGTTGGGGAGGTGGGGGGGGAGGTGTGGGGGGCGCGCGCGTGGTGAGAGTGAGGGGAGGCAGACAGATGCTGCGCTACGTCGCTCAGATTTCTACCAACAGGCTGTTCAGCTGTGGAAGGCATAACCTGTTTGTGGTACAGCCCATTTGTGACTGGGGAGCCACGCAGCACATTGGCTATTTTTCAGATTTTCCGGGGTCTTCCTGAGTCAAGGAAGGAGGGGAGTCAGGCACCAATTTTTATTTGCAGTCACAAGAGGGTCCAGTTTAGCTTGGAACGGGGCTGCGGAGGATATTAGGGTTCGGTCTCGTAATTAGGAGGCCTCGACACCTTGTTGTTTAGTCTGCTGGGGGTTTGACTGCCTGTTACAAGAGGAAAAGGAATTCTGCAGTCTGAATCTGATACCATCTCTGTCACTGCCACAGACTCGGGTACCCATGTGTCTGAAGATCCCAAGAACTGGCAGATCTCCCTGATCAGGAAGATTGGCAAATGCTGTTGTCTATCGTGAGTAGAGGAGAGAGTCCAATCAGAGAGAGAGAAAGAGAGAAAGAGAGAGAGTGCAAAAGGACACAGGAATGACAAGGGTAGTCAAAGTAAGAGAAGTGACAAGGGGCATTAAAAGGATATTTTGGATGTCGGTGGAAGAGTGTGGGTGTTGTGTTTGTGGGGGTGGGGGAGAAATGGTGCCATTCGGGAGGTGTGGGGGCAGGAGAGGGAATCAGAGCCCGAACTGATGCCGAAGGTGACCCGCTGCCCCATCAGTCGGAGGGTGCAGTAGCCAACTGCGAGATGGGATGAAAGGCTATGAATGGGAGAAAATCGAAGCCGTTGCTTATAAAGGATACACACAATGCCCTGGAGCATGCCACTGACATCTAGTGCCCCCTTCTGTGCATTACAGCTGCGTGGTCTCCTTAGTGCTCACCAGTTGCTGTGTTGAAACATGCACTGTGACTTATTTCAGAGCAACCCCCCACCACCTGACACACAAGATTCCTTGGGCTGATGGTGCTTCATCACCATTATAAAGGGAATTGTGGCTGTTTTCCCATACACGACCTTATGCAGACATCCTGCTGACCATTTCCATTGACCTCTCATCTCTTGGACACAGTGGGCTAATATCACTTAATGTGCCAAGTAATTCCACAATTAAATTCTGTCCAGAAGATTTCCATTCACTCATTTGCGTCGGTACAAGTAGGTCCAAGAACACACACAATAGGCTATGAGGGGACCTGTAGCCTATTGGAACAGGAAAACTGGAATAAAAGATTGAAAAGTTTGGGTACGTTCCACGATGCAGAAAGGTAGGACTACCAAATCCATAATTCCCTCAATGGTGAACAGAACAGAGAGTAAGATGACACAAGAAACTTGAATATATAACAAATACCAGGTTGATAATACATGTGCACAATAATACAAATGCATGTAGAAGGGAAATGAGAAACAAGATACAGAGGCAACAAAGAGAGTATGAGAAGAAAACAGCAGCTAAAATAAAGGGGAATTGAAAAGTCTTTGAATAGACATAAAGGAGGAGTGGGACCAATTACTGACCAAATAAAAGGATTTACATGGAGGTTGGATAAAATTAAGTCAAATAGGAAATAAAACTGAAAGGACTGCAGATACTGTAAATCAGAAACAACTACAGAAATTGCTGGAAAATCTCAGCAGGTCAGGCAGACTCTGTGGAGAGAAATCAGAGTTAACTTCTCAGGTCGAGTGACCCTTCCTCAGAACTTTCTCAGGGTCACTGGGACCCGAAACGTTAACTCTGATTTCTCACCACAGATGATGCCAGACCTGCTGACCTTTTCCAGCAACTTCTGTTTTTGTTTCTAAATTAAATAGGAATTCTCTAAGTGAATTGGTAAGTTAGTCTAAAGGATCTGCAAACATCGATGCAGTGGCAAATATTGAAGGATACAGAACAGATACATTACATCTACAGTTAACTGTAAAAGTAAAAGATAGAATCAGACTTAAAGAGAAATCATATAAGTGTGAAAAGACAAATCCAGCTTTACCAAGGATGATGCTGTGATGCTACACAGTTCATGATGATGGAGGAGGAAATTAAGGCACTGGAAGAGGTCAAAATAGATCTGGAAGAAGTGTTGGAGAGACTGTTGGACACTGTCTCTACTTAGACTCAGAGAGATACCAGGAGACTGGAATGTTGCAAATATTGCAGCCTTTTTGAATAAGGCTGTAACAATAAGATATTACAGAGTAGTCAGTTTAACTTCAGTTGTTGAGGAATTTCTAAATTATTCTTAATTGCTCTTAGCAGTCATATAGAAAAAGGTGGGTTGATTTGGAAGAGTCAGTATGGATTTCCCAAGGGCAAATCATGTTTAAGCCATTTTCTGGAGTTTTTTTGAAGAGGTAACAGAAAGAGTAGATGAGAGCAATGCTGTTGATGTGGTATATCTGGACTTTCTGAGGTGTTTGATACCACACAACGGATTTGCGGGGAAAGTTACAGGCATGGAATAACAGGGACAGTGGTGACAGGGTACAAAATTGGCCGAATGATAGGAAACGGAGAGTAATGGTCGATGAATATCTTTCAGAATGGAGGAGGGTTTGTACTGGAGTTCCTCAAACGTCGGTATCAGGACCCTCATTTTTCCTCATGTACATTAATGATCTGGATCTCAGTGTGCGGGGAACAATTTCAGAGTCTGCAGGTGATTAAAAAAAACTTGAAGCGTGGTAAACTGTGAGGCGGTCAGTGTAGAACTTCGTAAGAGCATAGACAGATTGGTGGAGTGGGCAAACAAGTAGCAGATGAGGTTCAATGTGGAGAAGTGTGAGATGATACATTTTGGCAGGAAAACCATGGACAGACAAAACAAAATAAGAGCTTTGATACTGAAGAGGGTGCAGGAGCAGAGGGACGTTGGTCTGTAAATACGTGGATCAGAGAAGCTTGCAAAATAAGTGGAGAGAGAAGTTGATAAAGCTTACAGTATTCTAGAATTTATGATTAAGAGCTCAGAGTACAAGAGCAAGGAGGTTATACTGAACTTAAACAGGACATTTGTTAGACCCCAGCTGGAGTCTTGTGTACAGTTCTCATCCCCACTCTAAAGGATGGATGTGAATGGTCTGATGAGGGTCCAAAAGAGATTTACAAGTGCAGTTCCAGGGATGAGGAGCTTCAGTTATGAGAATAGATTTTAGGAGTTGGAACTGTTTTCTTTGGAGAGAAGAAAGGTGAGAGGAGATCCAGTGGAAAGTTTCAAAATCATGAGGGGTCTGGACAGAAGAGACAGGGAGAAACTATTGAACAAAGAACGTAGAACAGTATAGCACAGTACAGGCCCTTTGGCCCACGATATTGTGCCGACCTATTATCCTACTAAGATTAATCTATTCTTGCTCGTGAGAAGCTTGGGAATAACAGGGCACAGATTTGCAAGTAGCAAATGTGAGAAAAATCTTTTTCACTTAACGAGTGGTACATGTCTGAAATGCACTGCCTGGAAACCTGGTAGAGGCACAAATTCTACAAATATTTAAAAAAGAAAAGTTAGCAAAGTTTGCATTGGAGGTACAGAATTGAGTCTTGAGAATTAGTAAGGGAAAATAAAGAGGCGGCAGATAAATTCTGTTTTCCATCGGTCTTCACTGAAGCAAGTACAAGGAATATCATAATAGGAGCAATAAGTCTGGAAATGGAAGGGAGTGGGGGAAGCTCAGGAAAATCACTGTCCCCAGAGAAAATTGTTGGAATTTTGGGCTGACAAGTCCCTGGGTCCTAATACACTTCATCTTAAACAAAGTAGTTAGTGAGATGGTTGATGCATTGGTTTTAAATGATCCAAAATGCTTTTAAATTGGGAAAGATCCCTTTAGATTAAAAGATAAGGAATGTAACTCCTCTATTCATTAAGGGAGGGAAATAAAAAGCAGGAAATTACAGGTCAGTTAGTTTAACATCAATCAGGGAAAATGCTTGAAGCTATTATTAAGGATTATTGAGGAAGGGCATTTGGATAGGTTCAAGGTTTATCAGTCAGAATCAACATGGTTTTGTGAATCTTTAACCAATCTATTGGAGATCTTTAAGCAGGTGACATGCTGTGGACAAAGGCAAACTAGTGGATGTATTGTACTCCGATTTCCAGGAAGCATTTGATAAACTCCCACATCAAAGGTTATTGTGGAAAATTAAAGAACTCAGACTATAGGGGATAGCATGTTGACATGATTGGAAGCTTGGCTGGCTAACAGGAAGCAGAAAGTATGTGTAAATGGGTTCAGGTTGGCAGGATGTATCAAGCAATGTGCCCCAAGGGTCAATATTGGGGCTTCAACTCTTTACAATTTATATCAATGATTTAGATGAAGGGATACAAGTTGTGGTTAGTAAATTTGCTGATGACACAAAGTTAGTAGAAAAGTAAGTTGTGAGGAGAGCGTGGGAGGCTGCAAAAAGATATTAATAGGTTAAGTGAGTGGCAAAGTTGTGGCAAATAGAGTGAGAAAATGTGACATTATCTATTTTGGTAGAAATATATTATTTGAATGGTAAGCAATTGCAGAGTTCCGGTGTAGAGTTGTGGAGTCATAGAACTTACAGCATGGAAACAGACCCTTCAGTCCAACTTGTCCATGTTGTGCAGAGGGATCTGGGTGTCCTTGTGCATGAATCACAAAATGCTAGTATGCAGGTGCAGCAAGTAATTAGAAAATTAATAGAATGTTATGGTTTATTGTGAGGGGAATTGAATACAGACGGACTGAAGTTAAGCTTGAATTATACAGGGCAGTGTTGAGACCCACATCTGGAGCACATTGCACAATATTGGTTTCCTTATATAAGGAAAGATGTAAATCCATTGGAGACATTTTGGAGAACGTTAGCCAGATTAATCCCTGGAATGGGTGGGTTGCCTTATGAGGAATGGTTGGACAGGCTGGGCTAGTATCCACTGGGTGTTAGAAGACTAAGAGGTAACTTGCTTAAAACAGAAGATCCTGAGGGATAATGACCAGGTGGATGTGTAGAGAATATTTCCTCTTGTGGGAACATCTAGAACTAGGGTCACTGTTTAAAAATAAAGAGTCACCCATTTACAACAGAGGTTAGGATAAATTGTTTCCCTCAGGGAGTCTTTGGAGCACTTTTCCTGAAAAAGTGGTGGAAGCAGAACCCTTGAATATTTTTAAGGCAGAGGTGGATATAAGCAAGGGGGTGAAAGGTTATTAGGGGTAAACGGGAAGATGGTATTCAGATCAGCCACACCTTATTGAACAGCAGAGCAGGCATAAGGGGCTGAATGGCCTCCTCCTGCTCCTTGATCATATGTATCTGTTCTTTGTCTTATTTTACCAAGGAAGCAAATGCTACCAAAATTGTAGGGAAAGAACAGGAAGCTGAGACACTGGTTGGGTATTAAATCTTGATAAAGAGAAGGTGCTGGAAAGGCTAAGATATCACAGTGTGGAGCTGGAGG